AATTGACACAATAAAATTAGACTAACAGGCAGAAGCAATTTTAGGAAATTGCGTGTTTACCGCTTTTTATGTGTTATTTGTTATATGTAATATTATCCTATCTTTGAGGGCAGTTTATGAACTGTACGATTTATCTTCAGCGGTCATCGTTCAAAAATAAATTAAATTTATTTTCAACTCTTGAGTTTTACAAATAAATAATCACCATCATCAAACAACAGTTTTTCGTTTAACAGTGCAGTAAATAAAAACCGTTTTATGGAACAAACGGTAAATTTAATTAAACTAGCTTCTGTGTAAATGTTTTGTAAAATTTGTATATTTCACCACTTTTAGTGGTCAACCAATAATATGTAAATTTAAGGGAATAGCAAATAGCTATTAAGACATCAAGAATTAAAAAATCGAAGTCGTAGTTTACACCTGAGTGCAAAAAAAAATTGACAGGCATCTTCCAAACTGCTATCAAGTTTTTCCATGTTTTTCCAATTCGTTTTTAACACTGACTATCACACTGCACTGGCAAGATCACCAAATACGACATTTCTTTTGATAGTTTTCTAACCTTTTTGGGAACAACCTTTTTCACACTATGTGAATCTCTGAAAACTTTTACAATTTGCGTTTTTTTTGCACTCAAGTGTAGTTTAATAGACCGAGATTATTAAACTATAAGACTTGTGTTGTCTTCAAAATATTTTCCAATACTAATATTGGATCAGAAATTTTGCTAAATTCAGAAATTGTTATAAAGAAATTTGTCAAAATGCCAAGACAAGTGTATTTTATGTACAGTGGCGGACAATATAATCGCGAACACTATAAAAATCAAGTACTTAACACATTTTTTCTAACTTTTTCAATGTGTAAATTTGTCTTTCTTGAAGATTCAAAGTATTTTTAGAAAAGAGGTTACACTTCATTATTGTTTTCATCTAAGTTTTGGCATTTTTACTATTGACACCGTCAAGGTTTATGTCATGTTAATGTCCACTTAATCCAGCAAAAAAATGGGGTACGCGATTTTATTGTCCGCCAGTGTACCTATAAAATAAGTTGCTTTTCACGACATATTTTATACAAGAGCGTATATTAACGACAACATAAGAGGTAAGCTTTAATGCATCATAGAAATAGTACAACATATTTGGTAAATAGTATAGTATATTAAAAACAAGTTTAATGAGACCAGTCTTGAAGCACGAATTCAAGTTTAAAAAACGAGTAGCATAGTCACAAGTTATTTTAAAGAATGAGTGTTTCAAGATCTTATGAAACGAGTTTTTTAGACTATTTTATTGTATTTTTTTTTCTTATAAACAAAAAATATTACTTTAATTTAGGGATTTTTGTGTTTTCATATGTCTTAATTTAAAAAGTCAAAATTTGATTTTATTATTAATATTATTAGGTATTACATTTAGTATGCATTAAACTCAAATAATCATAGGTGTAAAGATATATCAGCGTCTTGTTTTTTTGTCTCCTTTGAATTCAGCACACAAACTGTTTTCAATGGTTTACTTTATGGTAGATACCTTTCTGGAAATTTTAATAACTTGTGTTCTGGTGTTTTGTTTCGCAAACTCGTATTTTTTTCTTATTTTTGACAACTAGCTAAAACATTATTTTAGATTTTGTCAGTTTTTAGTTTATTTAGAAAATATTTGCAGCACTTTCAGTTCTGCGTTCTATTGCTTTGAGAGACTGTTTGCTCATATTATTTCCATCTTGCGCCATCAAGTTCTTTTATAGTATTATAATTTAGATTAGCAAGTGAAATACTGAGTGTTCTGTTRGAAGATGCTCATTAGGTCATCTCCCTCTCGTGTTAATGRCACGTCATAATACACTCGCTATATGAACKCCATAATCACGCCAAGCCAGCACCCTCTCGTACCCGTTTCTAATTAGCAATTAGTGAAGTTGTAATGCTCCATTGACAGCTGCTGACATTAAATAGTTTGCGAACGCACCAAAACCCATGTAATAATGACATGTTTCACCACCTATGAGGCTCTCGCCGCCAGCACGTCAAACTATAATAGCACGCAGAATAAATTTATTCCGTATAATTGGCTCAAAGTAACGCTAACTATAAAGATTACGACTTTGTGTTTTTCTTCGGAATTATTTTTAATCCGGAGCATAAATTCGTATTTCTTTTAAGCAATGATGGATGCGATGTATCGAGGATTTTTTCAAGTTAATTTGTAACTTTTAATAACGGGACGTTTCCGAGAGTTTTTAATTTTAATAAGCTCTTTTAACAGGAAGTTAATCTTCTCGTTTTGAAGGGATCCAGGCTTTATGGATGATCGGTCTCGTCGTYTGTAATTTTTCGGATAAATCGCTCAAGGAGAGGGTTCAGGTCAGTATCCTCTCTCTATTATAGATGCAAGAGGTCYGGACATGTGTCTATTAATCTACAATATCGATGCGGGGCTTTCAGCTCGTATTTTGATTGGATCATTACAACGCTAGCTTCCGCTGTTATTAACAATTTACTTTCCCATTAAAATTCCACCGTAGTACGCACATAAAATCGCATTTAATTAAAGAAATGATTATTCGTCGCACTCCGATCTCTGGCTTTTAATACCTTATTCATCAAATGTTTCCATACTGTTCCCCCACTATTTCAGCGACGTTCCTATTCATACGCCCAACTTAATTCATCACATGAGGTTGGAACAGTTTCAATGGTTGCGGAAAGGAAGCTATGCATGCATCATAGCTCTCAGTAATTTACAGATTCTAGAGAAAGGAAACGCAAAGCGCACTGTTACTCACGATATATGTGTGAGTAGGGTGCACTGTTCGATGAAAATCGATTCACAATTTTTTCACAAAGTCACTTTTATAGACCAATAAAAAACGGTTTACTTAAACAAGTTTTTTATAACCCAGATTATCATATTAAACGTATGAGAAAATCCCGTGTGAGCTACGGCCGAAAATGGCTTTTTTAAGTAAGGACGAGGATATTTTCTCCAGTTTTCTGAAAAACGTGTGTCCAACAATTCACATGGAAACAACGTTCCAACTAGTGCGGCCATTCTAACACTCCCCTCCATTAACTTGGGCTGTTTTAAAGTGGGAGTTTAATTTATTGTCTGCTCACTATCATTAAAAGGACGCTGTCACTAGCTTGGGCTCTTCTTAATTCATTCTCTTTCCTAAATCCAAAAACATAAAATAATAAGCTGTATGAAAAATTGCAATGCTTTTCCCCGACCGCAAAAATAATGAAGAGTAAAATTTTGAATAAACACTGGCACAATTTTACATTTAATGTAACTGTGGACTAATATCAATTCGAGCCTCACTCTTCTTTAAGCAATTTAACTGAGTAACACGRAACTGAAATTAAATTGCGTCGTTAGCAATMATTTTCATTTTGATTGTRTTTTTGTATTAAATGACTCGCTTTTTAAATTGTTAAGAAAGATGATGCATAAATCCGGACGACTGCGGATTATCTGGATACAAATTGGTTCTGAGTGGTCGCTTCCATATGGAAATTTCGCACGTAATGGTCGATAAGACGGTATTAAGTGGAAAGTGGTGTATTATTGCGGTTATATGGATAGCGCGTTTTGTCGCCACTATTCAATTCTATCTTAATTTATATCTCGAAAATTATTTATTTGAAAAATTTTGTTGCTGCAAAAAAGATGAAAGAATCAAATTACTTGCTAATAACATTTCTGGATTGGAATGATAAATGAATTTGACTGTGGTCAGGAAGAACACTTTCTCAACTTTTCCTTTTCCTCATTTTCGCAGTAGTCTCGCGTTGAAACAAATTTTCACTTGAAATTTTCACAGAATTTTTTTATATAAAAATAAGGAGCACTCAAGTTTCCAAGTTAAAATAGAGTTTATAATTAACTGTCCAGATTTACTCGAACTTAACGAGCACCTTGGAAAAAAAATTATATTAAATTTTGACAGCTGAAAAAATATTAAAGCCTTAAAAGTGACGAAATTAAATTTTCAACAAAAAATTCGCCCGCGCATAACAATATAAAATAATTGAAATTTAATTTAAAGTCGTTTTGTCATTCTTTTTTTGAATAAATTAGAACTCGCTTAGATTCCTGTGTAAAGAGTATACAGTTTTCCATTGGGTCTAAATTATCTTATGGTCTAAATTATCTCATGTTGCGTTGTAATGACTATTTCTCGCACAAAATTTAAGACAATCAAATCTTTAAAATTTTTAAGATTTATCAAATCAGATTTAAATTACGCGATAATTCATTACGTGTGCAAATTATCGATAATTTGTCCGTGTTCTAAATTACCGCAAATCTGATTTGATGAATTTCATTTTGAAAGATTTGATTAACATAATTTTTTTTAACATTTTTTTTTTAATTTCTCATAATGAAAATATTGTTTTTTCGGGTAATAGTCTGCAAAATACCTCTTGTGCATGCCAAATTGATTCTAATATTTTGTCTCGTGCACTTTCGTGCACTCGCCAAAATTTGGAATGCACTCGGGTTAGGTGTATTACTATTGAAAATGTATGACCAAAATGTCTGGGAAAAATTAAATCCCTTTAGACAAGATTGTCTCCAACAATTTTCTCATTGTCAAAATTTTAATACGAAAAATAAGTGTAGTTTCTGAGTCTGTGTTTGAGTGAACAGATAGCGATTATCATGAAGATTTTATTCAGGTTGTCGCTCTAGAATTGATTCAATTCCCGAAATAAGAGTCGTTTCCCTCTCTTAACGAAATCCGCTCATGATTTATATTATTTTTCAAGACGTTCGCCATCATTATTCGAATTATATTTTGTGTCGTGTTTTTGTTTTCATTACTATTACTCTCCCGTATTGAATTGTAAATTTCCTTTGAGATCTCGGCGAGAGAGATAGATAATTATGTTTATGCAGTCCATGAAAAATTGTCTGAAGGCTCTTTCGCTTGTTTACTTTTCATCATGCAGTAAAAATATATTTTTTAATAAACACTGTCTGACTTACTTTAGCCGGCCGACCCCTGCCTTGGTATCCTCCATCGACCTGGCCTCTCTGCAAAGATAAATCAAATTTATTCCGAACTAACTCGTACACACATCAAAAAAGAATATGGTTCAACATGTAAATCGGTTGCTTACACACGCACGCGGACACAGAAGTTGTGTTAAAACAAAAGCCCCAGCAAACTCATCAAACAACACAAAAAAACGTGCCAGAATTTGAATTAAAAAACTTCACCCGGCCGGAAACAAATTAATACAAGGAGGAAAGAAGAGTTGATCATGTTAACAATCGTGACACGAATCGGTAGAAAATAGTTTTTCTTTGTGACGAGTCTAGTGGACTGCTTTTTATCTATTGTTGCTCTTTCGACGATCTGATGGATTTCAGAAGGGTAATTTGGAATAGGAACTCTATTATGTGAGGGGAAGGTGCTTTCACAACAAAATCAGAAACATTTTCAAACAAAGAGTTGGCGTGTTAATCAACAAAGGGGCTAGACTCTCGGACGAAGAAGTGTTTATGAGTTGCACGAATGAAGCTTTTTTATAATTAGGCATAAAAAAGGTTTTCAAAATGAAATTATATAATATTGGACGGGTAAGGTAATAAATAATCTGTTGTTAGAAACCGAGTTTTGAATTTTTTAATCGTGGCAGAAAATCTATTTTATTAGAGTTGTCATTTTTCCGAACAAGTTTTCTCGAATAAAAATTTGTAAAGAATGATGGATGCGCAGAAAAAATTTAATAATACGAGAAAATTAAGGTAACTTGTTTATTGGAGACTGAAATGCTTACAGTTTATTAAAAATTCTTAGATAAAAAGTGCTTTCGGATTCATTCTATTACTTAGTTCATTTTATTATAATTATTTGAGTAAATTCTTTTTCACAGAATTTGTTATTACCAAGTTTTGAACAAAAACGTGCAATAAAATTTTTTGAATAATTAAAATTTGATAAACGAATTTGTGTCATCTAACCAGACATTTTAAATATAAAAACAACTTTTTGTCTCAATTTTCTATACACACGATTTTTATTGCCATATACATATATATTAAGCTATCGTTTCTCTCATACTATATACCAACTGGAAGTGGTTGCTACGTACCTTCTTTACATACCGATTAGATTTTAAGTAGGACTACTTTTTGCATTTTAGCACAGTCGAGAAAAAGTTAAATTTGAATGAGTTGCATGTCCTATTTTATGGTTAGGATCACTGATTAATGCAACTTTAAGGCTTCTGTTGAATTTGAATTATTCAGTTAATAAAATTGTTACAATATGTGAACAACTTTTTTTCTGAAAAAAAAAAAAACTGTGGAAACATTTGTACATAATATTATTATTACAATGTTACAAATTACAATGTTTCGGAAATTACTATAAAAAGTGACATATGTAGTTTAATTTATTTAATTAGAAACTGAATAAGAATGGACTGTACTTTTTGTGCATTTTAAGCGTTTTTTTTTCCTAAAATTTAAAATAAATAACGAAGATGGTAAATGGTAATATTGAGAATGTTTGAGAAACTATACAGTCTTACACAGAGTAGCTTTTGATGTTTTTACAGTGCGATCAAGTCTTTAATGCTGCAACGTCTCTCTGCAAACAATTTTACTATATCTTGCATTGATAACTTACACACAGTTAAAAGTCTTATATAAAAAAAAAATATTAATTTAAAAAATTATGTCCTTAAGACATTTGCTTTTAAGCCTAAGCATAAAATTTTGTTGTTATTACTTATGTACCTATTTATTGTCCACATGAGTGATATTTTTTTAAGGAAAAATGCTTTATATTCCGATATTTCAAGGCTTATCACTTAAAAAGTTGATTAAATTCAAGAATTTTTGATTAAAAAAAATACATTATTTTGTAATTACAATTTTGGAAAAAAATGGACATAACTGTAGAGTATTCTACTTGCATATTAATTCGATTGAATTGTTAAGAAAAAATGGTGGATGCGCTGGAATATTACAAACTTATTTAGTACTTACGGATACGTATCTTATCCCAAAAAAAAATGTTTCTGTTCAAATAATAATATAATATGTACTTAAATTATGAGACATAACAGTGGTAACAATTGAATTTCCTGATCATGTAGTTATGCAGTATTTATGAAAATATTATCTCTTTAGTAAATATAATGTAATACATACTTTGCATACGTTGCTTATTTCTATAGTTTTCAACACTTTTACAATATAAAATTAGCACCACGTTTTGAAATGAGAAGTTTCTAATATTGTCAAGTGCGTACAGAACAAGAAGGTAGGCAAGTATCATTAAATTTGTCGGAACAAGACAACGTCTAAGTGAATGTCTGAAAACCGTCTTGACGAGGCTGAAAGTGCAAATTTGTCCCGTTTTAAAACGAGTTATGACATGGAGAGAAATTTTAAAATTCAAGAGTCGGGTGTCGAGACCTCCTTAATAATTATAATATTTTATAAGCCTCAAGCACSCTTTTGTCTGTGTATAAAAAGAAYGTTGTTGACAAAATACAAGACCAGTTTTATCCTAGAAAATCAGCTTACGCTGCAAAATCTATTTTCAGCTACTAGGATTTTTCTTCRGGAGTCTTTCTCATAAATTAAGCGACGARGCAGCAGTTCTTTTTGTTATGTGTGAATATCGATTTAGCTAATGTTTAATAACAAAGTTTGGCCAAAYATGGGCTATGGTTGGGATAYTTCTGTGAGAATGCACACAAATTCGGACGTTTACTGTTACTAATACGAGCGCTGGCACGTTAGTTGCTGTTGAGTTTAGTTTAATAATGAAGTGTTCAATAGACCTAAACTTGAGTGCCAAGCTTTCATCCCGACCAAGCAGCTTATGAACGTTAGAATTTAATATTAATCAAGTATTAATAGTAGTTTGGAGGGTAGTTGGGGGTAAGTTTTGTTATTAAATTTCCTATAGAAACATTGTCAATTATGTGAGACGTGATTTTGGAGTTTTCGAAATGAAACAATTGCATTCGGTATGTGATTAAACATAAATTAGTTCGGCTGTAATCTAGATCCACTGATGTTTGTTTGTGGGCTTTTTACAACCGAATCATGAAAACGCTGATGCGAATATATCGCATACGATACGAGTACATACAGACACTTGTAATTAGAATTTGCATTCTGAAYAAATTAATTAGCAAATCAAATCGCTAATTTCGAAACGAGCAAACTTTTATCAAAGCGTTAATTTGACTTTAAATTTTCATCGAGTTTAGGAGGAAACTAATGCGTAATATACTCGTAAATATAAGCGGACAAGTTTAGAGAGAAGTTGCGGTCCTAACCGCAGGACCATATGTCAGGAAAGGATTGAAACTCATGCGAGCGTAACCGTTAGCCGCATGTCTACGCCATACTCGCCAATTACTGCTCCCACTGTGAAAATTAACGAATATTCAATAACTAATTTAGGCAAACAATGCGACTACATTTTCGCCGCTTCCAAAAAACGCCTTATTGTCGAAATACGAAACCTTTTATCCTGCTCCGTATACACTTAAATCAAATAACCAACAAGTAATTTAATCTGACCTTTGCATTGACGGGAACGCTCTGAATAATTGACTGCTATTGAGTGCGTATTATACTGAAATAATTTAATTAGTGGCAAGGTACGCGACGCTTCATTAGCGTTTTCTTTGTTTAGTAAAACATACCCTTAATTAACTTAATCGACATTAAAAACACGAACGGCCAATTCAACAAAACGACAACCATTCATATCACACAAAATTCGATTATGCACACWATTCTCTCCACACGAAAACAAGGACACTCCAATTTACTGTGCTCAAAACGGTCGCACTTTCCACGAATTTTAAACAGAAGTATAAAGTGGCTCTCAGAAGTACAAGTCACTTTTAAAATATCTCCTCGCACACAACCTAAAAATATTGAACAATATTTCTTACTTCACGTAGTTAACAAATCTATGAAGCTTATTCTTATTAAAAAAAAATTTAGGCACAGACACTGTTAATAACGCTTGAGACGGGGCTATTAAATTTTGGAAACAGTATATATTTTAACTGTTTGGACTTAACAAACCGTAAGAGTATATTCTGATTAATTATTTATAACATATTGAGCTACAAATTTTTGAGATGCGCGAATATGATTACAATTTAAGAATCTTTTGCCTTTGATAAAATTTTAAAAGAAGAACAAAATATTGCAGACGAACTGCAGAAAACAAGAGTACATTTTGGATATGTTTTACTTTTTATTTTAGTTAAATAAATGTTCACATATATGTAATATTTTTATTTTGTAAATTGCGGCAAAACTGTACCTCAAACGTTATAATGTTTTAAACATATATAAGATGTTCCGAGAAATCGATTGGCGTTGAGAAAACTGTATAATTTTTGATCGTTTAGAAGTTATAGTTGAAGTATTTTTGACTTTATCAACAATTTTCTCGATAACTATTTACCGTAGGACAATTATTTTTTTATATGATAAACAATTTGGCTATACAGGGTGTTTACGGTCTTGAGGTTGAAATTTAAATGAGATGATATTCACGGTAAAAAAAAACTTATAAGCTATATAAAACAAAAATTCACGTTGTTAGAGGAAATTATTCATTTTACACTATTTGTTTGAGAACTGCTGCTGCGACTGCAACAATGGCCATTAGTATCATTACCTTGTGTTTCACCGTAAATCATAATCACGACAACCAATTTATTATTTTAATATTTTGCCATACATGTTCATAAATTAAGA